TGAAACAATTTTTTCTTATTTTGATATTTATTTTTGAAGTTCTTTATAGATTAATTAATTAGTGAATGAAAATAATAATTTCCCCTCAAGCGAAACATATCTCCTTTTMAACTCGATCTGTTTCAGAAGTTTCAAGGAGTCATAAACTTTGGTTGAACTTTTCTTGTTTCTTGAGTTTGTTTACGCTTAAATTACCGTGTTCTTCGATCTAAATTATAATTACAATTTAAATCAAATAATTATTTGATGTTTGTCCTTATATTTTCCCTTTGAGGAAGTTTTTGCGTGTCAATATAAATAACATTCCGGCCTTGGTATAATAACATCGATTAAACAAAAACTAAATTAAATTAAATTTCGATCATAATTTTCTCGATTTATCTCAAGTCCCCAAAGACCTGGAAGTCTTTGAGCAAAGTAGAGTTCATCCCTATCGACATATTCGCAATTCCCTTTATCTTTGGTCTTTTTATTGTAGTGTGATGAAAGGAGCGAAGCTTTTTTATTCCGTGCAATGTTTTTCGATTTTCTCGTCATTGCGATTAATTCCAGGTCAGATACTGAAATCCTTCCTTACAACTTATTTGTAGTTAACGTGTTGTTGCGTCGAATTAATTACAGCTGATATTTTTCTAATGCAGACATAAAAAGTAGATAGAGTTGCGCCGGCTAGTAAACAAATTTAACGTCAAATTTGACGTCTCGGTGCACTTTTTATTTGGGCAATTACGGCGAAAAGAGCCACTCTCGAGAGGGTTCGTATATAAACCTCTTCAAACGTGACAAAAGACAAATTTTCCTGAAACATTTTTCAGTCAGTGAACTTTTCGTGTCGATAATTCAGTGGCGGTGGCTGTATCGAATCTAATTTACGGAAACCTTCCAACTAATCAAATTTAAAAAGAAATACAAGAAATGAGGAAATAACTTTTCAGCCTCTAATCATTTTTCAATATTATTTCAACTAATTAGCAGACCGACGCTCTTGTAAAAATATTTTTCTAGAGAGAAAACTCCATCACAAGCTTCGCATTTTTCTTTATGATTTTCTTTACCTATCATTTTGTATTCTAGGATCGTCCGCTTACTTGCAAATAGCATTTTAAAGCAAATTAAATAACGCTTCATTTTTGTACAAATAGCTCGCAGGACGGAAGGAATTTAAATGGGACAAGTTTTTTTTTTTCGTAATTTTAGGGCACTTAAACGGAATTTATGAATTTTTGAGTAAGTTTGTGAAATTTAATGGACTGATGAAATTAATCTGTTAGGTTTGTAAGAGAGTGTTCTACCACTTGTGAGCCAAAAGAAAATATTTATTCTACGATACGAAATGAAAATGAAATTATATTTTCGTGGTTAGGAGTGTATTTAATCAACTTCACAAACATTGTGTTTAACATAATACAATTTTCTTTTCTTAATTAATATTATGTATTTTTGCGCAAAAAAATTGTTATTTTTTTACTTATTTAAACTGTTTTCTTTCTGAGTTTTATTTCTTTGAGTGTGTTTGTCTTTTGCTTACTTTGGAATGAGTCGACGAAGCTTCCACCTAATTTGGCCCAAATCATAGACAGAGTTTCTATTAGCGCCAGAGACAAAATTCGAATAGATTATTCTTCCGGAATACCAATTTCTAGTGTAAACGTTATTATTCGGTTTACTCGCCCTGCWAAACAATATTCACGATTCATAACTGTAAATTACAGCTTTCAGCATTATTAACGCTCGCATGACACAAATGAACGAGTTTTCGTTTAATTTCACAGAAAACAATAATTAATTTTATTCTGTTCATTAAATCTGGACTTGTTGGACGTATATTTGACCAAACTGTTATGAAAAATGTTTATTCTGTAAATGAAACAAAACATCAAAGCTTTGAAACCGGTTGTTTACTTACAACGTGAATCTAGCCAATCAAATGAAAGGGTGTGGTGGCTAATTATTTTTGATTGTGGTTGCTGTTTTCAGACCTTGGTCTTGTGAAATTGGAAAGTAGACGCGAAATTGTAACACAAATATGCAATTATTTATAGGTGTTGAAGGTTTGCTACGACATAACTATAAAAATGTAAAAAACACATTTAAAAATGAAATTAATGATGATGGTCTATTTGATTTATGTGGTCTGTAAATTGTCACTCTTTCAAAATGTCAAACTATAAAAAATCAAGGAGGGAGAATAACCAATCGGAAAAAATTGTCTAAATAAATATACTGATTCGGTAACAAATAAAACTTCTCTGAAAATTCTACGCCAACCACTTCGCTCAAAAGCACAAAAGAACTTCGTTTCGATAAATATTACAACGACTTTCACGCTTCCTGTAATCGTGTTCGGTCCGATTATGCTTTGGAAACTTTTCTGAATTTTTCAATTTCCTTTAACAAAAACCGAAACTGAATTATTCGAATTTATCTCTGAAACGCATAATTATTGTTGTTAAATTCACGGCCGATGGTCCTGAAAGAGCGTTGTTTTTGTTAATTAAATGAAATTAGATAGGTTTCCTGGTGCTTTGAACAAAACAAAGTTGAAGTCTCTGCTTGAGGCTTTCATTGTGCGAAAATCGAAATGTTGTCTAACAAAATGTGAGCAACTGGTGTTTGAGTTTGGAGGAAATTTTACTATTTTAGAGAGGGATGCTCTGAAACAAAGCTATTTTCTTTAGTAAAACAACTAAAACATGTTTTTTGTGAAGCACAAATTAGATTTTGTTGAAGTTTCCTCATTATTTTTATTACTTCGTTACCTTTAATTAATTAACGTTTTATGGACTTTACAAGACTCCAGACTTAAAAATAATCATTTAATTTGATTTTAGAATTTTTGATTTTTTGACAACTACTTGTCGTAGAATGTTTTAACCACTATTTTGTATAAAAAAAACATATTTTTGCTACTTAAAGTGTTTTGCACACTTTAGTATTTAACATAATGGTATATTATGTTAACAAACATTACGCGTCAGTATCGGAATTTGTGACTAGTGCAGTTAGTAGTGCAAAATGTCGAATACTGAGGATTTATGGAAATTTCTAAAGCAGCGAAAAAGACAACATTACTAAAAGTAGTCACTTTTTTGACGTCTGCGGAATTTTTTTTTATCTTAAAAACGGTAACACCATATTGGAGACAGAATATGTTTAATGTGAATATTGGATGATTTTATTTGTTGAGGATTTTTGTGGAAATGTAGATAAAAAGGTTGTCTGCATGAAAAAAGCGGATTTGTGGATTTATTGCCCCATTTCGATGATGGCTGTTTTGACGCTTGTAGTATTAACTTTTTTGTAACGTACGTTTCTTGCTTAATATTTATGACAATTTGAAATACTTTTGTGAGCAACAAACAGGGCCATAAGAAAAGTTATTTTTCATTTCTCTCAAAGGAATTTAAGTTGGAGCTTGACATAATTGAATATTTTGTGCTTGGATGAAAGCTCACGAAATTCTTTTTACTTTCATGATTTACACGACATGTGGGTCCAATTATCATTAATTTAAATGAATTCAGCTAAAGCTGAAAGCCCTTTTGGTGGGTGGTATTTAATTTCGTTTTCTCTTTGATAATTATTTTAAATTGAGAGAATGTAAGTCAGAAATTACCGGAATATTTTACCGGAAAACTCGCACTGGATGAGATAACTTGTGACACATTCTTAAAATAGTTCAAATCGTTGGAAAATCTCGTTTCAGGAACTTGTATTTATTTCAAACTATCCAAAGCTTGTATGACAGTTGTAAAAGGATTGAGGAATAAACTCTTGCAGAAACTAGAAAATGTTCACTTATAAATAGCTTGTAATAAAATTCTAGGGCAGATTTTACGTGTCTAAAGTTACAAGGGGAGGTTTTACGGTTGGAATCATTTTAGTTTGGTGTTTATCTACGATTTGGTTTAATGATTCCGGCTGAAATGTGAGCCGGACTGGATGCACAACGTTAAATGGATGAGGTTAGTTAACTGCATGTCAGTTTAGATCAAAGAATTCAACAGTAATGAACACAGGGTTAAATCAGATTTACTTAGAGTGAATTTTCGCATCAAAATAAACAAATTTGTTTAAAATTTTTTGAAACGTTGTGATATTTGGCTTGATTTGCCTTTTGCAATAATGCGCCAGGAAAATATTAATATTTTTCCAAAAAAAGTTTTTTAGAAGAGTTAGGTTTGAATCGTTTTTTATGACGTTTATGAAAATATTGTTTGATTATGTGTGAATTTTTGACGTCTTAAAATGTGTGGCGGTTTTAGGTAACATTATTTTATGATTGATGAAACGTCATTGCCAGGCATTTGGTAAAAAAGTGTGCACGAAATGTGTGTAAGAACTTAAGACTTTCATTAAAAAGTGTTTGATAAAAAGTTTCAAAATCTAAAGGTGAAAATATTGCTCGATGTTGCAAATCAATTAATAAACGTCTAATGCTTTTTCAGTACTTGCAGTAAAAAGAAAAAGTGAAAATTGCTACATTAATTTTAAAACTGTACATAAAAGCGAAACTTGTAATAAATTAAGCTTACTACAAAAACCTCTTTACCTCTCATAATATAAAAGTTTTGATGTGTAGGTAATTTAATCTATCATAAGTTGCAAAAGACTCAATCGATAATGTTTTTTTGTTTTTAGTGGAAAATGCAATCGCCTCTAATATAATTAAAACAAAATAATCGAAAATTATTTTCACATTTTTATGTTATTATGTTACGAGATATGTTGTTTTACGGTTTTTAGTTCATTTTAATAGGAAAGTTTACAAAGCAAATAGATGCGTTAATTAAATTTTTTGCGACTACTGCAAGCGAATGCATTAATTACTTTTGTATTATTTACACAAAAATCCGGGAAATGGTTATCGTGCTTAGGCAACCCAACATACAGAGTCCGGAAATCCGGAGCTATGATTCGGTTTTATAAGTTTTTCCAAATTTAGTACGTGTGCTACGATTTTTGTAATAAAACGAAAAGTGAAATAAAACTAATTCAAAAACACAACAATTAAAATTTTATTACTTTACAACTGTAGAAGCAAAACATTAAAATTTTTTTCTACTGTTTAATGGTAACGCTTTGTTCATTCTTTTCTTCTTCTTTTTCTTCTTTATTTTTTATTGAAATTAATTCAGATTCATTTTTGGTTTTCTTAACATCAGGAGAATTCCATGGTTGAAGATCAGATGTGGCAAACAACAGATATAAAACTCCAGAACTTACTAACATTCCAGTAGAAACAAAAAAAACTTTTTGCCATTGCTTGACGGTTTGCTGAAAAAATTAATTGTAATTGAACGAAATTAAAATAATGGTGGATTACGTTTTGGAAAGTGAATTGGCCGACCACTGCTGGTGTTAAGAAGCCAACAAAAGCGGCGACTGAGTTGACTAGTCCGAGTACAACACCTTTAAAAAAAAATTTTTTTTTTTTTTTGGAATCGCAATTCTTAAAACTATGTAACAGGAAGAAAAAACACACTTTACAGACTATTTTGCCAATTTAGGGATGATAGAGTCTGGAAAAGTGATACTTTACGGACTATTTCGTTTCGACGATTTAAGAAAAAAACATACAGGGTGTCTCACCGAGTTGAAAACGTCCATTAGTGACTTTTAAATGGTACAATTAAAAAAAATTATATAGGACATTGATAGATACTAATCTGGTCTATCGCCTAAAATTATTTTCAACTGTACAGCATGTCTCAAAAATAAGTTACAAAACAAACTTGTGTTTTTTTTAATGAAACACCATATGTTTCTTAGCGTTTTTGGATGTAGATTTTTATAACAATGTTTTTGAGCTACTTTTTTTAGTCGATTTTGCTTAGTTTTAAAAGTAAGACGATTTTTGACGAAAACATGCACTTATTAGAAATTTATTACACAAAAACTAAGACATCTAGAAATAGTTTTTTTACTACCGCAAAAAAGAAGGTACAAGCTATACGGTTGTAACATCTTAGTGTGTTGCATTTTCAAAGATAAAAAAATAAAGGTGTTTATTAAAAGTTCAATAACTTAGAAAATGAAACACCCTATTTATTGTTTTTGCATTTAAAAGGGTATTAAAATTATATACTTTTAGGTGTTTATAATAAATAACTAAAAAGATATTTAACGTTAAACATTAAAAAAATAATTACTATTCTTTCAGTAGCCAAAAAGTGCACAGTTGCACAAGAGATGGAAGAAATATCACTTAATAATCACATTTAAACTGAATCCATTATTTTTTATTTTTACAATAAAATAATTCGAATTTCAGTATTTTTAACGCCTTTAAAATCTCTGGATAAATCAACGTATAAGTGATCCGTGGTGGAATTACTATGGTTGTCATAATATCAACAATGCTCAGATATTGATAGGCATTGTTGCCAAATAATATTGAATGTTAAATATATTTTCATTTATCAATTCTAGACATTAAAAGTTTATTTTTTTAGATAGACAATTTATCAATCTATTAGATGCAGAAATAAAATATAGAGTGTTCCATTTAATTTTTTTAAGTTATTTAACTTTTAACAAACTTCTTAATTTATCAATCTTTACAAATGCAAAACACTAACAAATTGCTACAGCTTTAAATT